CCACTGGGGCTCCTGCGCGTTGCGCGGGTATACCGAGGGAATGCGATTATTTCGTCTGCTCGAATGGGGTGGCCAACGGCGTCAAGCAAATCAGCCAGATTCAAGATCGTGGATTTGTTTCCCGCGCCCCCGTGCTGCTAGACTTTTCGCTGGCTTGGCGCAAATGTCCTATTTGAAATTTCGCCGCCCTCCTGAGCTGCCGACCACTGCGCCGTTCGGCCCGTTCCCAGAGCCGTGCGATTTCGTGCGGGTCCGGAGCGGGAGCGCGATCGACGATTTCACGCGTAGAGCTAGGCGAGGGGACGGACCTCATATCGTTTCATATTTGCCCAGAGAAGCGCATGGCGCGTGGGCAGACCTCTGCGAGAAGGCTGTCCAGGGAGGGCCTTTGGAAGAGTTGCCATCGCGGGGATCTCGGAGCAAGGGGCCCGCTACCCATTGGAGACTTCTCCTGGGCAAAGACTTCGGGCCGTTCTAAATGCCCCCCCCCCATTTCCGCGCCACGCGGTGGCTCCGCGCCAACCGCGCGAAGTTCTCGGTTCGTTCTGCGAGCGACCGCGGCTTTTCTCGGGGCGCCCGGGCGACAACCGCGGCAGCGCAGTCGCCGAAGTTCTAGCCAGGCCGGCTGCGCGGCGCACAGCGGTGGTCAAGCGCGCCAGGACTGGGGCTTTCGGCCGCGGGGGGGGCATCGAGAGCGGGGGCCGCCGTGCTCGCGCCCTTTCCAAGGGCCATCGCGCATTCAAACCGTCAAGGGGCGCGCTGTCTCGGATGCCCAGGCCAGCCTTCGAGACGAAACTTCGTGGTCTATGGGCCCTTGGGCGGCCCGGGCCACGCCTAGCAGGCTGCCCAGTGCCACGCTGGATCCTCTGCCGGCGATCCCCGCCAGCGCCCTCCGACAGGTATCCAAGGCTCTCCCCGCGAGTCTGCCGCGGGCCTGGGCGGGTTCCACATGGGGCATTGTTTTAGTTTTGTCGGACGTGGCTCTGGATGCCCTTTCGAGCCCCCTGCGGCTCATGGAGTCCACGGGGGCGCTGTCCCCGCGGCTCTGCGCCGCGATTGTTGCCGGCCGGCGAACCGGCCTCGGGGTTTCGCCCCGTCGGCGTTTTCCGAGCATTTGCAGGCTTTAAAGCAAGTGCCGCGGGGGATGCGCCCCTCCTTGCAATGCGGCGCACATGAGACCGCTCTGGGCGGCCGGACATCGCGAGTCGGCCAGCGACGTCGTCTGGAGGAAGGCGGCCACGTCAGAACAATCAGGGTTCTCAGTCTGAGTCGGCCTGCACTTTGCTCCAGGATTTTGTCAAGAACTACGAAAGGACCCCTCTCGATTGATTTGTTTGCGAGATGTGCTTGGCACGGGCTTCCCCCGCCAATCGCGGCCATGTGCCTGGCTGGATATGGGGCAGCGCGTTTGTTAGTGCTTGCTGGTGCGTCTCGTAGCCGATGCGCGCTCGAGTCGGCGTCGTTGCTGGCCGCAGGTTCGCCGCGACGCGCATTCGCACGTCTGCCCTCGACGGCTTCGACTCCTCGCCTTTTCCTCCCCGTTGCGTTTGGCGCCTGCGTCGATGATGCGGGGGTCAGCGGGGTGGGGCGCGGGGGTCGAGGTTGCCGATGGCACGTGTGATTTCGCATGATTTCGCGTTGAAGCTCGAGACTGTCGCGGGAGATATGCAGCAGGCTACGATTGCGCTGGGCAAAGTTGGGCTGGTCTCTTCCTCTGGGGCACTCTCTCGCCTTCTGCAGCGGAGGCTGGAGAGTTTGGCCGGCCAGCGCCGCGAGCTCGTGGTCAACCTCGGCATCGACGACGCAGCAGGTGGGGCCCCGCGCGTCCGAGGCCGCAGTGCTCGGACAAAATGTCGCGCTGCGCGCGCCCGTCGGCGCACGGCGGCGCCTTGTTGCGCGGCGAGCAGCGCGCGGTCGCAGGGCTAGCAAGCTTTGCGCGACGGGCCCCTGCCAGGTTTAATGCACGGAAGCGAGCTTCGCGATTGCGGCGACGGCAAGTTACTCGAGTTGCACCGGGCGCGCGCTGCGCGTCCACGATGAAACCCTCTTCGGGGGGAGGGGCCTGACCTTTCAAACGGGCTCGAAGGGGGCACCGCCTGGTTTGGAGCTGCGCCCCCGATCGTGCGTCGGTCGAAAGTACTGCGGGCGCGCCGCGTGCGGGCGCCCGACGTTGCGTTTTCCTGGGCCCAGTTTCGTCCCCGGCGGAATGGCAGCTCTCGCTGCCTGGGCGCGGCGAAGAGTCAGGGGCCCTGCGAGGCTTCAGAGGGTTTCTGCTGACTGAATCCGGCGGCCCATGCCGTCGCTTTTCCTCCTGGCCAGCTACTTCGGGGCCCGCCGCCCCCCCCCCTGCACCCCCAGAGAAGCTCTTGAGGGAGCGGGCGTGGAGGAGTCTCGAGAGGGAAGCCGCCTCAGGGCGCGGCGAAGCGGGGCCGAGCGCCGCCGTTTCGACGCTGCGCCCTTCGCCCCCAGGTCCAAGAACTACGCGGCTCGCCAGGAAGGCGCGATTCAATGCCAGGTCTGCTGGGGACTTTGGCCGTTTGCTCGCGCGAGGGCCGCGGGCCACGATGCCCCCAGTGCGCCGTGGGCCAGGAGAGGAGAGGCATTGCAACGGAGGAGGTGTCATCGGCTGTGCTCGCGGACCCCGACGCCAGCAACAAGTTGGTTCTCGTGTCTGGTTTGTTCGAGCACCCCATGGCGCCCGCCCGCCCGCCCCGCGCGCGCGCACACGCACCGCGCGAGCAGACGCGCTTTTGTGTGTCGGCGGCTGGGCAGAAGGCGACTGCTCCGGCGGAATGGCAACAGGGGACATGCTGCGCGCAAATTAAGCTCGCAATGCGCGGAGGAGGACGAGGAGGAGGAGGAGGACACGCGCGCGCACGCAAACACACACACACACACGCGCACACAAACACACACGCACTCACACTCACACGCACGCGCGCACTCACACGCACGCGCACACGCACACGCACACGCGCACTCACACGCACACGCACACGCACACGCACACGCGCACGCACGCGCACGCGCACACGCACGCGCACACGCGCACGCGCACGCACACCCGCACACCCCCGCACACGTACGCACACGCACACGCACACGCACGCAAACACACACACACACACGCACACGCACACGCACACGCACACACACACATGCACACGCACACGCACACGCACACGCACACGCACACGCACACGCACGCACACACGCAACACACACACACACGCACACGCACACGCACACACGCACACACATGCGCACGTACACGCGCACGCGCACGCACACGCACACTTACACGCGCACGCGCACGCGCACGCACACGCAGGCGCACACGCACACGCACACGCACACACACGCTCACACGCACACGCACACGCACACGCACACGCGCACACACGCACACACACACACCGCACACAACACACACGCACAGCACGCACACACGCACACACGCGCACACGCACACACACACCACACACACGCACACACACACACACACACACACACACACGCACACACACACACACACACACACACACACACACACACACACACACACACGCACGCACACGCACACACAAACACACACACACACATATTCACCTCACACATACGCACACACACGCACGCACGCACGCACGCACGCACGCACGCACTCACGCACGCACGCACTCACACACACACACACACATACACACACGCGCGCGCGCGCACGCGCACGCACACGCATACGCACACGCACACCCCCGCACACACACGCACACACACACACACACAGTCACACGCGCACACACGCACGCCGCAGCCGACGACGAGGATGGCCCCGACGGGGTGGCGTCTAAGTTGTTTCCCAAGGGCTTTGCTGCCCAGGGCCTACCGTTGTCACCATTTTCCTGGTCGGCTCCTGCCTGAAATCTTCGGCTCGGGCCACGTGCCGCGCGTGTTGGGGCATGGCCTGTCTAGGTCCAGGTGGCAGCTTTCTTTCGTGGCTCTTGTGTGGAACAGCTGCGAGTTTTCTGTCTATGCTGTTTGTGGCGCCTTGCTTTCCCAGCCCAGCGAAATTTACACCGACTGTGCCAGCGTCGTGGGCATGCGCGCTTTGCCTACGCATGCCCGCCTTTCGCTCGACCGTCCACATGCGGGGATGGTGATGCAGGGACGGGCGTTGGGCGGGAACCGTTCGTTGAGTTGCGAGAAGGTCAGAGCGCATCAGGCGCTAGACGACCCGAATATTTCTCCTGGTGAGCTTATGTTGAGGGTCGGCAACGACTCTGCCGACCGCGCCGCCAAGCTTGGGGCGGCGGAGCACCCGTCCGCTACCGTTTCGACCTTGGCCGACATCAATGCTGACATGTTGTTAAGCAAGTGTACCGTCAAGTTTGCTGCTGAGTTGCTCCCGATGTGGCCTGGGACCGACCCTTCGGAGGTGCCTTGGTCCAACCCGCGAGTGCCAGAGCAGGCGGAGGCCGCCAGCCCCCGCACGCGGACATGGCTTGGCCCTCCTGTCGGTTCGCAGCGTTTTTGGCAGTGCTCGACTGGTCTCCGCACTAAGCGGCATCCTGGTCACGTTTGCCGTCCCCTTGGCCGCTGCTCCGAGTCCCCTCGGGTCAGCGTGCAGAGGCTCCGGGGTTTGAATCATTCATGTGTAATGTTTGATTGTTCGGACGACTCTCATGTGGTTGCTTGTTTAGAATGCAGATGCTACATGACTGGTGCTCGTCTGGCCAAACTCGGTGAGATTTGCGTGGGGCGAAAGAAAGACCCCAAGATTGGCAGAGACAAGCATAGCCAGGATTCTTGGAATAAGATGTGCAAGGGCCTCCATCCCAAAGAGAAGGGTGACCTTGCTTTCTGAAACTTTCAGCGTGCTTTAGTCACGCAGCGGGGCCGTCGTGCTCAAAAACCACGTTCTCCTTTTGCCCCGCATCCCCGCCTCATTCTCCTCGTCCCTCCCGCTCCTTCCTCCCTCTCCTACGCCGAACCGCGCCTGCCAGGCTTGCAGCAACCTGACGGCGGTCGTCGGCATCCTAACAGCGCAGGCGTGACCGACCGCCTGCGTTTGTGTTCTGCCCGTCCGCCGTTCATTGTTATGCTGGTCCTTCGCCCTCCTCTTCCTCCTCCTCCTCCCCCTCTTCATCCTCCTCTTTCTTCGTCGTCCTCCTCGTCCTTCGTGCTTAGATGCACTCTTGGCCCGTCCTCCTCATCCTCTTGATTGGGCCCGACAAACACCATGTCTGCACTGAGGCGTCCTTGCGGAGTCATAGGAAATTGGCGCGACTACGTGGCTGATGTCGGTGGGCGCGCGCGGCCGGCCAGGCTGCAGAGTTCTCTGGGGGGGGTCCCGGTTGTGGGGCCTCCTCGGCGCGTTGGGTGCCGCCGATGTCGCTCGGCAGACAGGCTCCCCTGGGTCCCTGGTTCTGCTGTTGGACCGCTGACTTCAGCGGGCGGCTGGTGCCCGGATTCCCGGAGGAGGGAGCAGGGAGAGTGAAGAGAGTTTGGGGGGAGAGAGGGAGAGAGAGAGAGAGAGAAAGGGAAAGAGGGAGAGAGAGAGAGAGAGACAGAGAAAGGAGCAAAGCACACAAGAGAGAACACACATGCAGAGAAAGAGAGAGAGCGCGAGAGGGAAAGAGAGAGAAAGGTAGAGAGAAAGAGAGGGTAGAGAGTAGGCATACAATATAGAGTAGAGAGAAGCAGAGAAAGAGAGAGAGAGAGAGAGAGATGAGAGAGAGAGAGAGTAGAAAGAGAGCAGAGACATGATACATATATGCATTGGTCTATATGTGTATGTGTGGATGTGTGTATGCAGAGAGATCTGGAGAAATACATATATATATATATATATATATTATATATATATATATATATAAATATATAGATTAGTGCAGGCCGAAAACATAAGAGCACTCATGGTATGCAGCAAAGAAGAGAGCGTGGAACCGAGCGCAAACTACAGGATGCTGAGAGCAGAGAGCATACAGTGAGGAGCTAATAGCGGATAGGCGAGAGTAGAGAATAGAGGTTAGAGATCAGAGAGTATATGATTGAGGGATGAGGTCACATGTAAAGGGGGAGTACAGAGTAGAGTGTACATAATACAATGCATGCAGTCAGTCAAGAGCATGTACGTGCCACATCGCCACATTCATCAACTGGCTCTCGCCCACTACTAGCGCGCTGTTTTTAGATTTGGCTTGCAGAAGCGAGTGTTTCGCTTCTGTGGCGACGTACGTATCAGCATCATCACCAGCAACATCATCATCATCATCATCATCATCATCATCATCATCATCATCATCATCATCATCATCATCATCATTATCATTATCATTATCATTACCGCATAGACCACCCTTCGGGTGATAAGGAGGCGAGGGGGGGGACCACCGTCGCACTCGATCGATCTCACTATCGATCTCGCTATCGATCTCATTATCGATCTCATTCGATCAATCTCACAATCGATCTGGCTATCGATCTCACACTCGATCTCACTAACGATCTCACTATCGATATCACAATCGATCTCACAATAGATCTCACAATCGATCTGGCTATCGATCTCACGATCGATCTCACATTCGGTCTCACGATCGATCTCACTACCGATATCACTATCGATCTCATTCGATCGATCTCACAATCGATCTCACAATCGATCTCACATTCGGTCTCACTATCGATCTCACTATCGATATCACAATCGATCTCACAATCGATCTCACAATCGATCTGACTATCGATCTCACTATCGAACTCACTATCGAAGTCATGATCGACCTCTCGTTCGATCTCACTATCGATCTCACTATCGATATCACAATCAATATCACAATCGATCTCACATTCGGTCTCACTATCGATCTCACTATCGAACTCACTATCGATCTCACTATCGATCTCACATTGGGTCTCACTATCGACCTCACTATCGATATCACAATCGATCTCACAATCGATCTCACATTCGGTCTCACTATCGATCTCACTACCGAACTCACCATCATCACCACCATCATCATCACCATCATCATCATCGTTGTCAACATCATCATCATCATCATCATCATCATCATCATCATCATCATCATCATCATCATCATCACCACCGACGGGACACCAGCGGGACACCGGCAGGACACCGCGGGGCCCCGGCCGCCCGGAAGGGAGACATTTGGTCCGGCCGCGCCTCAGCCACAGGGGACACCAGCGGGACACCGGCGGGACACCGCGGGGCCCCGGCCGCCCGGAAGGGAGACATTTGGTCCGGCCGCGCCTCAGCCACAGGAGACTTTCTTCTCGCCCGCCCACGCAGCTTCGCCTCGCCCGCACGCACGGCACGCACGAACACGAAACCGAAATCGATTTCCCGGTAGGGGGGCTCTCCGTTCCACTTCGATCTCACCCCCTCACCTCCGATCATCATCATCATCGTCAGCATCATCATCATCATCATAGTAATGCCATTTATTATTCGCCCCTCTTCCCCTCATCCTCCTCGACTCCTTCTGCCTGTCCCTCATCCGTTCCTTCAGCCTCTCCCTCCTCCTCCTCCTCCTCTTCTTCCTCCGATTCAAGGCTACGGAAAGACTAAGAAGAGAGAGTGAGAGGGCGGGAGGGAGGGAGGGAGGATGATGAGGGAAGAGGATGAGGGAAAGGGAGGGAGAAGGGAGGGGGAGGAGGAGGAGGAGGAGGAGGAGGAGGAGGAGGAGGAGGATGGACGGGATCAGGTAATTCGTCCTTGTTCGCTCAGGACCCGTCCCAGATTGCCAACAGCCTCCAAATGGTGTGCCGACCGCCTGGTCGAGAGTCTGTTTCTCCATTCTGGGCATTGTCTGTTTCAGTAAGAAGAATGTGGGAGGCTATTGAGCTTCTGGACCTTCTGTCCTCTTCTCCTCTTCACTCCCTTTCCCTCCCGCCTCCTCTTCCTCCCTCTTCGTTCTGCAGCGTTATCTCCTCATCCTCCTCTTCCTCCTCAGCATCCTCCTCCGCAGTATCCTCCTCCTCAGTATCCTCCTCCTCATCCTTGTCCTCCTCGGTCTTCTCCTTCTATGCCTCGTCTTCATTCTCATCCTGCTCCTTCTCTTCCTCGAGATTCCTCCTTTCTTGCCGCCTCCCCCTCCTTCCCCCCGCCTCCCTCTCATCCTCCCCTTTTTTCCTTCCTTCCCGTCCAGGCTGCCAGCGAAGAGTAGTACTGTATGACTGTAGCCTGGGAGCGGAGCAGGGTGAGGACGAGGGCGAGGGCGAGGGAGAGGGCGAGGACGAGGACGAGGAGGAGGAGGAGGAGGAGGAGGAGGAGGAGGAGAGAAGAGGGGAGACACTTCCCCACGACTCCCCAGGCCCTTGCCCTCCCCCTCCCCTCCCCTCCGCCTCCCCTCCTCCACATGCTCCTTGTCATCTCGCCCCCATCGACGCCTGGAGGAGCAGGAGGAGGAGGAGGAGGAGGGGGAGGAGGGGGAGGAGGAGGAGGAGGAGGAGGAGGAGGAGAGGAGGAGGAGGGGGAGGAGGAGGAGGAGGAGGAAGAGGAGGAGGAGAAGGCACGTGCCTGCAACGGTCCTTGTACCTTGGGGCACCGTTCCAAGGGTGGGTGAGCCGTTGTGCACCATCCGACTTTACAAGGTTGCTTATTCTCAAGGGCATCCGCGCTATACTACAATCCTCCTCCTCCTCCTCCTCCTCCTCCTCCTTCTCGTTCCCCCTCTGCGCTCGCAGCGCCTCCTCGACGCCGGCATGGGCGCCGCCGTGCTGCTGGTGATGGCAGCGACCGCGCTGCTCGGTGCGCTGCGGGGATGGGGGCGGGGAGGAGGAGGAGGAGGAGGAGGAGGAGGAGGAGGAGGAGGAGGAGGAGCAGGAGGAGGAGGAGGAGGAGGAGGAGGAGGAGGGGAGGAGAGGGGTAGGAGGGGGAGGCAGGAGGAGGAGGAGGATGAGGAGAAGGAGGAGGAGGAGGAGGAGGAGGAGGAGGAGGAGCAGGAGAACCAGAGCAAACCAAGGATGCGTCAGCGACGCTGCAATACACCCTCCCGTCCCACGTCCCCGTCTCACTCGCAAGTCCGTACACGCTTTCGTTTTTCTTGCCGGGAGCGCAACCCTGGAAAGTGCAGTACCCGTGTGGGCTTGCCAGTCAGGCGAGAGTGCCGCTTGGAAAGGGAACCGCCTTGCATCCTTCTAGCGCCTGCTCAGGGGTGCGAAAAGGTATGATCAGGTACTCCAGCAAGGTGTCCAGCGAGAATCCCATTTCGAAACAGTGCCAGTCCGCCATTCCCCCGTCCGAAGCTTACCTCCGCCTCTGGACCATGGACTTCAAAGACGTCTCTAGCTGGAGCTCCATTTTTGAACAGGAGCCGCATCTGCCCGTGCAGCAGCTAAATTTGCTGAAGCTTCGGGTGTTTCAGTTGATTGATGTCTCAAGCGAGAGCCGCGCTCTGAAACGGAGCCGTTCTCCATCCGCGTAGTTCCTGCAAGCTTTGAAAGGCGACTGTGCGTGGCACGAAGGCACGAGCCTAATGCTGGACACCGCCTGTGCTCCAAGGCTTACGCGCTTGAAAGACGAATGCGCGCGGCACGGAGGCGACAACATCATACACGAAAACCCCTGCTCCATTCTTGCAAATGTTGCTAAGGCAGGACCCCCAGGTTGAAAACGACTTGCGCTCCATCCTTGCAACTCCTGCACGCGTTCGAGTCGAACGGGCGCCGCGCTAAGGCGAGAGCCCCATGTAGAACAGCCTTGTGCTCAATCCTCGTGAGTGGTATGTGTTCGAAAGACGAGTGCGCGGGACGCCAAAGCAAGAGCCCCAGTTCGAAAACGATGTGCGATCTATCCTTGCAACTCCTGCACGCGTCCAAGACGAACGCGTGCCGCGCTAAGGCGATAATCCCATGTTGAAGAGTCGTGTGCTCCATCCTCGTAGCTGGTACGTGTTCAAAAGACGAGTGTGCGTGGCGATGCGGCGAGAGCCCCATTTTGATACCCACCTGTGCCTCAGCATTTTACTTGTTGCGAATGTCAAGCTCCAGTATCAACAGTGGCGAAGAAAGTCTCAGGCGAAACACCCTGCCCGCCCTACCAACATGTTCGGGCGCGCGAGAGGGAGGAGCCGCTTATAAAGAAAAGGGGTGGAGGGAGGGAGGCGGAGGACGAGGACGAGTACGCGGAGGACGAGGAGTATTTGGAGGAGGAGGAGGAGGAGGAGGAGGAGGTGCATGGGTAGAACGACGAGGACGATGAATCAGTGCTGAGGTGACGCTGCCGTGTCGCCCATGCGATCTCCCACCGGAAGCAGAGAGCAATTGGTTTGACTGATTTGCGCACGCGCGTCAGCGTTTTTCCCCCCCCCACACCGCGCGCAATGGTAATTTCGGGCTTGGGAAAGGATGAACAACCACGGCGCTGACGACGGCGGCGGCTCGTAAGCATTTTGGCTAGTCCGCGCGCCCTCTGTGGCTGTTGTCTCGCCGCCAACCGCGGGCGGGCATGCGCAGCCTCCTTGTCGTCCGTCGTCGTCCCCCTCCTCCTCCTCCTCCTCCTGCTCCTCCTCCTCCTCCTCCTGCTCCTCCTCCTCCTCCTCCTCCTCCTCCTCCTCCTCCAGCTCCAGCTCCAGCTCCTGCTCCTGCTCCTCCTCCTCCTCCTCCTCCTCCTCCTCCTCCTCCTCCTCCTCATTCTCCTCCTCCTCCTCCTCCTGCTCCTGCTCCTCCTCCTCCTCCTCTTCCCTCCCTCCGCTCCTTTTCCTCCTCCTCCTCCTCCTCCTGCTCCTCCTCCTCCTCCTCCTCCTCCTCCTCCTCCTCCTCCTCCTCCTCCTCCTCCTCCTCCCTGGGCGGCTGCAGCAGAGAGGGGCCCTCCTTTCCATCGGCTGGGAAGCGGAGGCTCGCGACGGCGGTGGCGGCGGCGAGGACGAGGACGACGGCCGGGCGGGCAGGCAGCACTTTGCTGCTCGGCTTGTCTGGGCGCTACCGCCGCAAGGAGGCCCTGCGTTGCGCCCCCTCTCTTCTGGGGGTAGGGAGGCGGACGATTGGGCGCCCAGAGTCGAGGAGGGCGGCGGATGAGGTCGAGCGGGGGGGACGAGGTTGATGAGGGAAGAGGAGGAAGATGATGAGGAGGACGAGGAGGCGGACAAGGATAAGGAGGAGGCTGAAGAGGAGGAGGAGAACAAGAACAAGAAGCAGGAGAAGGAGTAGGAGGAGTAGGAGGAGGAGGAGGAGGAGGAGGAGCAGGAGGAAGAGCAGGCGGAGGAGGAGGAGGAGGAGGAGGAGGAGGTCGAGGAGGGAGGAGGAGGAGAAGGAGGAGAAGGAGGTGGAGGAGGTGGAGGAGGAGGAGGTCGAGAAGGAGGAGGAGGAGGCGGGAGGAGGAGGAGGAGGAGGAGGAGGAGGAGGATCAGGGCAGCGTTAGGAGGATCGGCTCAAGATGGTGACGCATCGACCCCCCATCGCCTATTCAGCGCCGATGTGGGCCCAATATCCCACCCCGCGCAGGAGCGTGCGGATTCGTTCTCGGGGGCCTATCGCCGGTCTCTCTGTGATGTCTAACCGATCCTAGCTGGATGTTTCCCCCCTAGCCGGTCCGCCCTAACGTTCTCCTCCAGAGGAGGAGGAGGAGGAGGAAGAGGAGGGATCAGGACAGATGAGGACCAGGAGGAGGTCGGATGAGGACGAAGAACGCAGGGGGAAGGGGACTTTCAACCGTACGAGCCTTTGGATCATTCGCGAACGTTTTAGCCTATGTATGTGCGTGGCGAGAAGGGGAGAACGATACCTTGAAGAGGAACCGCCCTCCATGTTCGACACTGCTGGGAAATTTAAGACGAAAGCGCGCGGCCCTAAGGCGAGAGTCACAGTTTGAAAACGATAAACCGATCAAACTTTTGAGATGAATCTGCGCGGCGCTAGTGCGAGATCCACATTTTGAAAACGGCCCGCGATACACCTGTGGAACAGTTGCAGATGGTTAAGACGAATGTGCGCGGCGCTGAGGCGAAAGCCACAATTTGAAATCGACCCGCCCTCCATCCGTGAAGCTGTTGCCGTGTTTACGACGAACGTGCGAGGCGCTAGGGCGAGAGACACTTTTTAAAACGACCCGTGCTCCATCCGTGAAACTGTTGCAGGTTCCAAGCCTCCAGATCATAAATGATGAGAAAGTCTCTGGCGAAACGCCCAGCCCACCCTACTGACACGTCTGGGGGTGCGACAGGGAGGAGTTATCTTTAAGCAAAGTGGATACATGAGGAACAGAGTGCGCACAAGACGCATCAATGATGTTGCAATAGACCCTCCCTCCAAGCTCCATCTTTATAGGTCCCTGCGAGAATGTGTTCTCATTGCGGGAAGTGCCCCATTGGAAGACAACCGCTTGAACATCGGGAAGTTTCCCAAACATCATTCTTGGGCCGTCAACGCCGCGAATAAACGGGATTATTGCGTCTTGACCATCCTAAATCGTGCCAGAGCATCGTTCCTGGGTAACACCGCGATCCAATGTGCCTGTTGTGCCCTCACAGTCCCCAACCGTGCTAGAGCATCAGTCAGGGGATGTCAGCCATGCAACCTATACGAGCCGCGAACTTTTTAAACGTATCTGCGCGGCGCTAGGGAGATTTTGAAACGGGCCCGCACTCCATTCTTGAAGCTGTTGCAGATTTGGTCAGCGAGCGCGCGCAGCGCTAAGGGGAGAGCCACTTCTGGAAAACGAGCCGCCCTCCATCTTCGAAGCGGCTGCAAACTTAAAAACGTGCGCGGCGCCAGTGCGAGAGCCAAGGTTCGAAGAGGAGCCAGCTTCATCGTCGAAGCTGTTGCAGACGTTCCAGACGAATATGTGCGGCGCTAGGGCGAGAGCCACGTATTCAAAACAACCCGCCCTCCGTCCTTGAGTCTGCTGCAGACGCGTAAGACGAATATGCGCGGCGCTAAGGCGCGAGCAACATTTTGAAAAGGAATCGCCATCCATCCTTGAAGCTGCTGCAAGCGGTTAAGACGAATGTGCGAGGCGCTAATTTCTAGAACCATCCGCCCTCCATTCGCGAAGCTGTTGCAGGTTCCGAGCTTGATGATCAAAATGGTGAGGAAGTCTCAAGCGACACGCCCGGCCCGCCATACTGACACGTCTGGGCATGCGACAGGAAGGATTTGTTTATCAGGGAAAAGGACACAGGAGGACGGATGAGGGGCTGCCTTGGGTGGAGAGCTCCATCTACAAGTCTTCTAGGTACACGCTTCCTCTCAAGTATTTCTTGGGTTTCTATTTCAAGGCGGCGGAGGGGTCCTTTCCTGGGGCCTTTCTTGAACCTTTCGCGGGCCGATTCCACGGGGCGGGTGCGGGGGACGGCGCCGGAAAAATTCGAGGGAGGCGCGAGGAGGAAGGAGGAGTAAACAGAGGGGAAGCACAGTCAAGACGCTGAGATATGGAGCACTTTGGGCTCAGGAGGGGCTCTGAGTTTCGGGTTGATCCCCAGATGTAGCTCGGGGGATCTGTGCGTGGCGGCCGAGGCTCGCCGAGGCCAGGAAGGCTCTTGTGCTCCATACTCAGCGTCCCTCATAGCAGCACGATGGCTGTCGAAGGTGTTCTCAATGTGCAGCTGGCACCTGGGAGGTGCGGGGCCACACCGGCCATGGGCAGTGGCTGGGAAGTGCAGCCGTGCGCACCGCGGAGCACCTGTGCCGCTGCGTGTCCGCGGGGCGGCCGTGGGTGCGGAGGTCTTCGGGCTCGGTCCCAGACCTGGGCCGGGACTGCACGCAGACTGGTCACAGTGCAAGGTGGTCTCTATCAGTCCTGGCAGTCGCTGCGAGACTGGGGTGACCGTCGGATCCAAGACTTCGTTGTCGATTTTTGTCGGCGGGCACCGTTCAACCCTTCAGGGCAGCCCAGCGCTGTCAAATTTTGCGCGGCGGTTGCACGGCGACGGTTGGCGCGCCGGCGAACCCCTCAAGGCGGGCCTCTGTTGTGGGTCGTGGCCCATGAACGGGCAGGTGGACCTTCCCTGGCCTCTCTCGCGGCCCGCGGTGCCTTCGGGAGTTTTGTGCGGATTACTTGATTTGAGTTTCGCAGTTGCGGAGTGTGTTTCGAGTTTCTTTGGCCTCTGTGACAAGCCGAGCCGCGCAAACCAGTATAAGTTTTGAGATCCGAGCCAGAGTCGCATTGAGTGAAGGCATACATTATAAGATCTATTCTCGCCATGACCATTCAAATGCGCAGAAGGACGTTAGAAATGAGCGTGTTTGAAACCATATGCGCGCGCGTTGAAACTAAAGCAGAGTGGATATGATCGAACATGTTAGTTCCCATATCACATTCATGATGCTTGAATGAATTCCCCCTGCATCGCAAATGCATTCCTCTGTTTTCAGACGACATGTTTTCGTGCACGTTCTGTCGATAAAAAAACTGTCCCTGTGTTCATTGTCTTGAATTTTTTTTGCCAAAATCTACCGCGCGGTTAGTCTATCGAGTTTCGGCCGTTGTCAAAATTTCGTAGGCGGAGGGTTACCGGTTTAGCCGAGATGTCGTTGTTATTTTCAAGGGGTGGTTGCCCTTGAAGATTGGTTTATGTTGTTGTTGCTTTTCCTGCGTAATCGGTTCCACAAGTGTGCGCCGGGAGTAATGGTCTTTGTTGCAGAAGGAGGCGGAAGCGGCACGATGCTTCATTATCGCGGCGCGCAGGCAGAGCACATGGCGGAGGTAGAGATGGAAGGCTTTCACACGGTGGATGACCAAAGCGGTGCGTGCGTTTGTTCTGTTGTTGACGTTGTGTTTCATGCGCTCATGCGGAGCATTGCGTTATCCTTCATCCGCCTCATCTTGCTTCTCGACTTCGTGTCACTTGTCATCCTGCTTATCCTGATCCTCCTCGCCCTCCCGCCCCTCCTAAGGGAACGAGGACCGTCATTATTTCAGTTTGGGTCGCGGTTGAAGGAGAAGCTTTGGAACCTCTGAGTTCGTGTCTCCGTCATAGTCGGAAACCTCGTCTCAGCGCTATCTTGTTGAGATCGTGATCTGAAATTTGTGAGGCGGTGTGTTGCCACGCGCTTGCGCTCGAATCGATCATTCACGGGCAGTGCAGACCTGCTACAGTACATGGTGTAGCGTGCTGGTCAATGTTCTCGTTCAATTGCGAGGTCGCCCTGATTCTACAACTCATCGAACTTATTTCCTGTTTTGGGCATTGGTTTCACAACGGATTGGCTTCGCGGAGAGCTCTCGAGCGTAAGAGTCATCCAAGCTTGGCATGATTGCGCGGGGGCTTTGCGGCGTCCATCCAAAATCCATCTTAGATTTGCTGTGCCGACCTGCTTCTCGGCTGACGGCTGACGCGCCCCAGAGTGTCAATTCGTGCGAGTATGAACTGGCATCGTTGTTCTCAGAAGTGGCATGGGAAGAGGTATTTTCCTCGGCTGGCCGTCAAGGCGGGAGTCATGGGAGAGAAGAAGAGGGGGGAGGGCGAGGGGAGGGAGACAAGATAGGTGCGCAAGCGTCAGCGTTGCAGTGGGAACACGACTTGGAAGGACTGGAAGCGCGGAAACGAAGCCAACGCTGCAGCAGGAGCACGATTTGGAAGAGCGGGAACAATGAAACGAGGTCAGGGGAAGATGATCTGGAAGGAATGATAAGGAATGAGAACGCGAAACTGAAGCCACTTCTGAAAGAACTGAACACGCTCGGATTGGAAGCACCTATAAATTATCAATCCGGCGGCATTCTGTATGTAGAAACCAACACGCGGAGGAGGCCAGGACACCTCACCGCCGTCTTCGGGGGAGAGAGGAGAGTAGTATTCAGATAGTGTAATGTTACAGGAGTGGAGGTGAGGAGGAGAAGCAGGAGGAGGAGAAGGAGGAGGAGGAGGAGGGGAGGAATTGGAAGGCGAAGGGGAAGGGGGAGGATAAAGAGAAGATGCGAGAGGGGATGAAGGCGAGGGGAGGAAGAAATGATTTAGAAGTGATGACGGAAGATAGGGATGATGATGATGATGATGGTGATGATGATGATGGTGATGATGATAATGGTGATGGTGGTGGTGGTGGTGGTAGTAATTGTGGTGGTATTGAACATGCTGGTGATGATGATGCTGATGATGATGGCAATGATGCTGCAGGTGTTGATGGTGGTGATGATGACGATCGTGGTGATGATGTTCATGATGATGACGATGAGGTTGATGGTTTTGGTGTTGATGTTGCTGTTGATGGTGATGCTACTGATGCTGATGACGATGATGTTGGTGATGTTGGTGATGATGATGCTGATGCTGATGATTATGATACTGATGCTGATGATAAGGATACTGATGATGATGACGTTTAAGATGGTGGTGATGGTGATGGTGATGATGCTGGTGATGCTGATGATGCTGATGATGTTGATGTTGATGATGATGGTACTGATGTCGACGGTGGTGGTGATCATGATGACGACGCTGCTGAGGATGTGGATGCGGACGACGCTGCTGCTCTCGACAACAACGATGATGATGATGACGATGCCGATGATGATGATGATGATGATGATGATGATGATGATGATGATGATGATTATTGATAATATGCGGGTGATGATGCTGATGATGATGTTGATGATGCTGCTGAGGGTGGTGATTGTGATGAGGATGTTGCTGATAATGATGATGCTGATGCTGATACTGATGCTGATGCTGATGGTGCTGCTGTTGATGATGATGATGATGCCGATGACGATGATGATGATGATGATTATGATGATGATGATGATGGTGATGATGATGATGCTGATGATGATGATGATGGTGATGATGATGATGCTGATGCTGATGGCAGGTGCTGATGCTGCTTCTGAGGCAGAGGAGGGGGAGGAGGATGTGGAGGATGACGAGGACGAGGAGGAGAAGGAGGAGGAGGAGCAGGAGGAGAAGGAGAAGGAGCAGGAGCAGGAGCAGGAGCAGGAGGAGGAGGAGGATTGTTGTTACACCCATGTCTACGAGGCAAGCTCGCACGCGCAGAGCGGGCCACGCTGCAGGCGTGGCCGTTGGCCTGCCCGCTTGTGCGACGCCAAGGCCCGGTCTGAGCCCCGTCCCACCGCACGGGCCCTCAGGAGAGAGCAGTTCACGGGCGGGATCTCCCGCGGGCTGTGGGCGGAGGACGGAGCCGGAGGGCGGAGGACGGACGTGAGGTAGGAGGCGGAGGAGGCGGAGGAGCAGGAGGAGGCGTAAGAGGAGCAGGAGGAGGAGGAGGAGATGGAGGAGGAGGAGGAGGAGGAGAGGAGGAGGAGGAGGAGGAGTGAGGAGGGAGGAGAGGAGGACGGGGAGGACGGAGGCGGACGGAGGAGGACGGAGGAGGACGGCGGAGGATGGAGGAGGACAGAGGACGGAAGATGGAGAGGAGGAGAGGAGGAGGAGGAGGAGGAGGAGGAGGAGGACGGGGAGGAGGATGTGCGTGACGGCAGGGAGCAAAACGAGGAGGGGCAGTAGAAAACGAGTTGGAGAGGAGTGAGGAGCTACTTCAGGTTGCCCCCTGCACCCCACGCTGGACGCCGACTCCCCGTCGTTCCGCACCGCGCCACAGGCTAGGGAGATGAAGCGGGAACGGGCCAACACTCCACTACTTTCCTCTTCTTTCCATTCCTCCCCTGTCCCTTCATCCCTCGTCCCCCGCCCCCATCTCCTCCTCCTCCTCCTCCTCCTCCTCCTCCTCCTCCTCCTCCTCCTCCTCCTCCTCCTACTCCAGCCGCCGCCACGGCTGAAGGGCGAGGGACACGCGGCCCTCCCACCCTGTTCCATCGCCCGCCAGGGGAGCAGCGCGCGATGCCCACGCGCCCGCGGGGCCCAAGAGGCCCATGATGGCGGCTCTCCTCCTGCTCGCGGCCGTCGGCTTCTCGCCGCGGGCGGCCGCCCTCATGTCGACAGGCGCTTTCCGCGCCCCTGGACGCACTCAGGAGCGAGAGCCTCAACCTGTTCAGCACACCAGGCTCTGCACGTACAACCCTATGTACCTGACGGGATGCACCCGCGCGCAGGAGATGTCATGCGAGCTCAACAACATGGGCGTGATCCTTCTCCCTGGGACGAGCCGCCGCCAGGCACAGGACTGCCGCCACAGCCTCTTCAAGCATGACTACCACTGGGAGCTCTCCTTCGGCGGGACCCGTGCCACCAACAAAAGCTGCGGGGTCAGCATCTTCCTACACCACAAGCGGTTCCCGCAGGCACACCTACGTCGGATTTACCCTCCGCCCGCGGCGCTTTCGGGCCGCTGCGGCGCTCTGCGCCTGAAGAGCCGTTCCTCGGACGTGCTCCTCATGGTTCTGTACTTTCCCGTGCCGTCCGAGTCCCGCTCCAGCCGCAACTCATACCGCCAGGTGACCCAGGCGATGATTTCGTGGGCACGCAGCACGCTGGAGTCGGTGGGCAGTCGCTGCACGCCTTTCATCGGGGCGGACCTCAACGACAAGCTCGGCTACTCCGTGGACGAGACGTTTCTCGGCTCCCCGGCCCCGCGCCAGCTCGAGCCCGACTCGTGGAGCGAGATCGACTGCGCCGTGGGCCCCTTCCAGGAGCAGGAGGGCCTAGCAGGACGTCTCTGGCACCAGTTCCTCACGGACCACGGCATGGCCGCGCTGAACACCTTCTTTGACAGCGGGGGCACCTTCTTTGGGGCGCACGGACGGTCAAGCAGGATCGACTTCCTCCACGCCCCGTCCGCCCTGGTGTCCCACACACGCCAGTGCAAGGTCCTCATGGGGGCAGGCCGCCGCCTCCAGCCCATCAACACATTGGACGATCGAGACCACCGCCCTGTCTATGCGGACGTATTCTACACCTTCGAGGCCCACGCGCAGCCCAAGCACACCTTGGACTACGACACGATCATGCTTCGTCTTCGCGGACAGCACACCACCGCCGCGGACCTCGAGACCATCCACCAAGCAGTGCTGGACATTGACGAACCGACCTGTCAGTACCTCTGCACCAGGCCGACGACGGACGAGCTGTGGAACTCTGTCGCCTCGCTGATGGTCGACAGCGCGAAGGACATCTTCACCCGACCGACTCCTACACAGGCCGAGAAGACCGTTCTCGAACGGCAACTCTCCGAAGCTCTTCGCACTCGACGCGACCTCCGCGCTCGCTTCACTGGCTCCGACCCCTCGCACAACACGGAACTCATCGAGACGGAGCTCCTCCTGGCGCGCCTGACCTACCGCATCCGCGCCCTCTCCTACCGCATCACCACCGAGCGGAACGCCAGCCTCACGGAGGAGCTCAACCAAGCATGGGCACAGCACGACCGCTACAACGTCCAGCGCCTCATCCGACGCTTATCTCGACGCGGCCGTGGCCCGCGTCACAGACGCTACTTCACCGCGAGGGACGAGAACTGCGACCCCGCCGACATCCAGTCCTATCTGCAGCGGCCCGCCTCCCTCGGCGGCCCGGGCGCCAACGTCTGCTACCTCCAGGACGAGCTCACCCACCGCTTCGACGCCCCCCACTCGGGGGAGGAGGCGCACCGTACCGACCAGATGCGGTACGACGCGATGCAGATGGCGAGCCTCGAGATGGCGAACAACGACCTGCAGGGGATCATACGTGAGCTGCGCAGGGCCCCGAAGCGCAGGGCCTCGCCCGCGTGGTCCATGCCCTCGGAGCTCTGGCTTCTGCTTCTCGACCCCGCACACTGGGAACAGTATCGGCTTGGAGGAGTGGGGCACGTCGAGCATCCCACGACGTTCCTCGCCTTTCAGGAGAGGTTCGTCGACATCCTCGCCAGCTTCAGGCGCTCGGACTCCACCCCTTTGATCTTTGACGTTTCATCCTGCGTGGGCCTGGACAAGCGCAACGGCAAGTCTGGGCCTGCGAGCATGCGGTGGATTCACCTCTTCCGCCCGATTGGGAAGTGCCGGCACGCTCACCTGTGGCAGCGGAACACATCCGAGCGGGAGGTACTACCATATTACTGTCACAGCTTCGCCCGCAGACGGCGGCGCGAGGACGCCATTGCGGCGCAGGCCTGTCTCTCCTGGCGCCTCGGTCAACTCCAGATCCCACACATGATAGTGAATGAGGGCGCCACCAACGCCTTTGCGAGCACAGATCGCAGCGTGATCTACGACACACTAGGCTCGCTCTACCGTGCCGAGGATCTTTCTTTCCAGCGCACTAGGACCACCAACAGCGCCTGCCAGATCGACACTATGGAGGGCCCCCTCGCCTTGCGCCCGACCTCAGGAGAGCTCATGGGTCACCCGAATCCCGCCCGCGCATTCCCCTACTACTACCTCGAGGGCATCACCCCGTTTCTGGCACGTCGGGCCCATTCGAGATCCCAGGTCCTGACGGAGGCTCACGAGATAGACGAGACGACCACGGACGTGGGCATTACGATCTACGCCGACGACATCACGATGACGGTGATCCCCGACGAGATTCTTGCGGGCACCCCCCTGGGCTCCGCGGCTTCCTCCTTCTTGGGCCAGGTCGCCGACCACAGTAACCACCTCTCGGAGACCCTCGGGACCATCGGGGTGCACCTCAACCTCGACAAGCGGGCCTCGGTGGCTCGGATCTCGGGACCTCGCAGTAACACATTGACGCGCCTCCTCTATGGCGGCTCCTGGCAGTGCCGCGGCGTCTTGGGGCGGCACCTTCGGATTCTTGGAGGCTGGCTTATTTCTACGGGCTCTCTGCAGGGTGAAAAGGCGAAGCGACTCCAGGCAGGGCGCTCGGGTCTAGGAATGATCTCGAACTTTCTGGTCCATGATGCAGCCCACGGCGTCAAAAGAATGGCCGTGATCTCATTCGTGCAGGGTGCCCTTCTTTCAGGTATGGAGGGTCGGATCCCAGACAAGAGCTTTGCCGCCGCTTCGGACGCTCTAATACTTCGCGCGCTCCGCCGCGCACTCGGTCGACGGGGCCTGGAACCTCAGGCTGACGGCGAACTGCATCGCTGGCCTGCCCGTCGGCTCTGGCAGCACTGGCGTCTTCTTCCTACCCTTGAGGAGTTACGAGTTCGCAGACTAAAATGGTATCAGTCATGGTGCCGCCACCCCTCAGACCACCGGCAGGTTCGAGCGTGCATCCTGGGGAGCATCGGAGACGGGGACTCCATGAAATCCGACTACACCCTTCACCCCGACGCTAATCCATGGGCAAAGCAGGTCCTATCGGACCTCGAGATTGCGTACTGCCACTCGGAAGAGTTCCAGGACCACGTTCCCGAAGACGTCCCCCTACTACAGCTATTCTACTGCTCCGATTACAAAAACTGGGCCTACATTGACTTCACCATCTTGAGATCCAAAACGTTCTGCCACCAGTTAGCCCCGCCTGGCCTCCAAAGGGACCCCAACGACGACGAGCTATCACGAGGGGAAGACGAAGGCAGGCTGCGGCCCTACAGATGCAAGATGACGGACGACGACGGGCACCTCTGCGGGGGCACCTTCGGCCCCATTAAGGCCCTCCTCCTGCATGCCAACAGTGTCCACAGGGTGCGGAACGAGGCCTCCCTCCTCACGGTGACGAACCAGTGTTTCAGATGCCTCCAGGTCCTCAGTACGAGAGAAAACGCGCAGCGCCACGTCATGCGCAGCTACGTTCGTAATAGTTGCACCCGAGGCCGAACCAGCTTCCTTTCGCATGAAGTCCAGGTGCCTAACATCTTACAGTGCCCCGTATGCAGCCATTATGCCCGAGACCTTCTTGCTCTTCAGGTCCATTTTCGCGGCCGCTGTTCTCTTCCTGAGCCGCGGGTTCGTCTCCAGGGCGCCCTGCGACACGATGGCTTCCTCGGCGATGGCGCCGCCCGCCCAGCAAGAAATGGACCTCTCCGCGCTGCTCTAGCGGCACAAGCCCTCGGACGGCGCCGCAGGCGAGAAGGTCGAGCCCAAGGACAAGCGCCAGCGCGGGCCCGCGACCGCCTCCATGGCCGACGCCTCGGAGGATGCCCTGATGGCGGTGGAGGGCGCCCTGAAGTCGCGCGACCTGCAGCAGGCGGTCACGATCCTCCTCAAGATGGCGTGCCAGTGCGCCCAGCAGCTCAGGGACCTCGCCGCCTCGGAATGGATCAGCATCGCGCCCCCGCCCACAGCCACTTCGACCGTCGCAGCTCGGGAGGCGGGCAAGCTGCGCTCAGAGGCGGCGCAGATCCCCGAGGCGAAGCCCCAGCTCAACTCACCACATTTTACATCGCTCACGCCGTGTTCAAGTGCCTGTCGGCCTCCGAGGAGGTGAAGCAGAAGGCCCCGCAGGGGCGCGCGCTCCTGTGCACCTTCTACCAGCAGTTCGTTTGCAAGGTGACGGGCTCGGAGCTATGCCTGATGGTGCGTCACTTCAGGCTGCGCAAGTGCTACAACGACCAGTACACCAGGGTGCAGTTCGCTTTCGCGGACCAGATCACGCTGAAGAACGACAACCCAGACGGCCCTCGGGAGACTACGGCATCCAAGCTCGAGCTCGAACAGAGCCTCGTGAAATGTTTCGAGGCGCAGGGCGGCCGCCAGAAGATGGGGACGGCACCTCAGGGCCACCTGGAGTCGATGGCCCAGAAGCTGCTCGACAAGAACCAA